ACACTAAGCAAATTCTGAATTGGTTAAAGACATTGAAAAAATTGCTATGAAACAATTGGAAAAATACTGGTGAAAAACATGAGCAGTGTTGGAGAGGGAGAACCTTTGCTCAAAGCGAGAAATCGCTGAACCCCAGAAGAATGAGGGTTTGTGATGGATGGCACTGCACACGGCCATCGCGCACATGTGCGAGGGGAGGAGGATCACCGGGTTGTACTCTTGTGAGTTCCCAGTGCTTTGCACAAGGGGCTTTGCACTGCATATAAAAATGCACGTTTACACTTTAAAAACAAACCTCCTCCGGGCGCACAGGTGTTTCTCTGAAGGTCCTGCAGGAAGGCCAGATACCAGGGGACAGATTCCAGACAGCAGTTTAAAATGTTGTAGAGCAGCATTTTAGTGGGTAGGAGCAGGAGTGTCCAGAAGAATCAGTCAGCCGTCCTCGGGGTCTGGAAGTCTTACACCTGCTCTAGACCTTGGTACCCACTCAGGCCGCCACCTCTAGGAGTTTGATTGTTCTCTACTGCATCTCCCCAGCAACTCTGTGAGAGAGAAACTCTGGGGTCCGTAATGGACACCTCCAAAGGCTGAAGGCTCCCACCGCACAGCGCAGAAGATGGACAAGAGATGCTGAACAGGTTTTGTAGAAAGAACCGTGGAATCTTCCCTTCACTATTCCGCCAGTGTCAGCCCCAGGGCGAGGTAGTGTGACGAGACCTTGGGACCCCATGCCAACATGTGCCTGCAGCCAAGAGTCCAAGGAATCTGCTTGGGTTAAATGTGGAGTTGCCATTTGATCCAGCAACCCCACTTCTGTGTACCTGCACACAGAAGAAGAAAGCAGAGACCTAAAATGTGTCTGTATACCAACACTCAAGCAACACTACTCAGGGTAGCCCAAATGTGAAAACAGCCCAAGTGTTCCTCAAAAAACACTCAATCAGGGCTGGGGATTTAGCTCAGTGGCATAAATGCCTGCCTTGCAAGCGCATGGTCGTGAGTTTGATCCCTGGTACCCATTAAAAAAAAAGGAAAAAAAATGAAAAAAAAACCCCACTCAATCAAAATGCAGCACACACATACCACATGATTCAGTCCCGAAAAGGAATGGAATTATGCTGTATGCTACAATCTGGATGAACCTGAGACATTATACTAAGTGAAGTAAGCCAAGCCCAAATGGATGGATATTGTGTGATTCCTCTTGTGCGATGCTATGACCTGAATTGTCTCCTTCCTATTTGTATGTGGAACCCCCACCCCCGGTGTTCTAGGGTCTTTGTGGAGGTAATTAAGGCCAAATCAGGTCATAAGGTACAGTCCTGACTCACTAGAATTAGTGTCCTTATACGAAGAGACATCTGAGCCCTTGGGTGCCCCCCTTGCCCTGTGGGGTCACGGTAGAGTCTACAGCAAGGAGCGTCCTCACCAGGAGACGATGCCAGCCTTTGACTTCCAGCCTCCAGAAACTCGGTGCCGGTGGTATTTTGTCACGGCAGCCCGAGCTAAGACAAATGAGGTACCTGAGGCAGTGAAATTCATAGAATCAGAAGGCAGAACAGTGATCACCAGGGGCTGAGAGATGAGAGAAGGCAGTGTTATTTTTTAGTAGGGAGACAGTTTCCTTTTAGGATGATGAAAATTTCTGACAGTAGATAATAGCAATGGTTTCATAGCAGTGTGAATCTGTTTAATGCCATTAACTGCGCCCTTAAAAATGGTTACAGTGGGAGGTTTAGCTCAGTGGCATAAGTGCCTGCCTTGCAAGTGTACAGTCATGAGTTTGATCCCAATGAGTTTGGTACCAATAAAAAAAAGATGGTTACGTGGTAAATTTTATGTTAGGTATATTTTTACTGCAACTTAAAAATTAAATTTAAAGCAACAGGAAGGATATCTATAGTCCTTTTGAAACCCTGAACTGCACGAACCCCCTTAGGCTAGGTGCCACCTTGTCTGTCACCTGGCCACAGCAGCCTGCAAGTGTCCTAAGCTAGGGTGCGTGGAAAGCACACAGCTCAGGGGATTACAAACTGGAGAACATTTCAAGTTCTGAGGTCTCCAGCTCTGCTGTCACTGAATTTCAGTCCTTTCCCATTAGGGAAAAAGCAGTTTAGAAGAAAGAATGTTTGCAGCTGGAGTCTGAGTTAGCAGTTTTGTCTCCCAAGACCGGAAAACACCTGTCCCCGCAGCCTTTCCATTGAATTTTATACGGCTTTCAAAAATAGACTTATTCTTCGCTGACTGGCAAGATGTAGTTATGTGTGGTTGTCTTCCATAGTTTTATCTAAACCCAAGCAATCACGCGACATTTTATTTTTTTTAAGCAGGGAGTACACAGAATTATTGTCTCTCTAGGTCACGCAGTCACTTTGATAGCTCAGGAAGCTTCCAAACTCAGGAAGTGAAGTCCACAGGGAGTGAGGCTCCAGGTGGAGCCTGGCAGCCCTGGCAGCCCTGCTACTTCGAGCCCTGCTCCTGGCCCAGCAGCATCAGCAATTCCTCAGAGCTCACAGAAGTGCTGTCTTCAAGCTCAGCCTGGACCCAGCGAGTCAGAACATGGATTCACAGAATTTAACTGCATTTTCCCCCATTGCCCCTGCCAGAAGCCAGGGCTTCACACTGAGCTTCGCCTGGATCCTCTCTATTTTCTTTATATTGAGACAGGCTCTCACTAAATTGCCCAAGCCGGGTCCAATTCTGCAATCCTCCTGCCTCTGCCTCTCGAGTAGCCAGCATTACAGGTGTGTGCAGCTGCGCAGGAAACAAAGTCCCTCCTGAGTGTTCTCTAAGGACCCAGAAGGGTTTCCACACTCCCCCAGCTGAACCGTCTGTGAAACAAATGCGGAAGTGCACATTCCTGAGCGTGCCCAATGCCAGCAAAAATCACCCCGTCTGATTCTCAGGCTGATGAAGGCTCAGTTAGCTGTGAAAAGAGCCCTTCCGGTCATCTGAACACTAACTCCCCCTCTCCACCCCGCCCCCAGCCCTGTCCTTTGGGAACCAGAGCTGGAGAGCTCAAGGCTCCCCAGTAATCCGTGCGGGGAGGGGACTGAGAGGAGGCTGTGGGACCTGGGGGTCTTCACCATGTACCCCAAGTTGAATGGCTTTCTGAGGACATGGCTACCATCCACACTTCATTCCCTGTCTCAATTTCCCTTCACTCCCCCAGCACTCATACAATGGGGTCAAAACAGGAGAGGGACTCAGGAAAGATGACCTTGGATAACTGTCTTGCCAAGGACCAACTCTGAAGAGCTGGCCCCCAAGGCCCAGCGGAGGTGTGGCTGCAAGGGCTGCCATCCTCCTGCCTTTGCAACTGGCCTGCGGGGAGCCCTGGGGAGAGTCTTGCCAGCTCTCAGGCCAGCTGAGATGTCTGCATTTGAGCAGCTGTGGGGAACCCAGTCTGTGAGCTGCTTCAGCTACTGGCAAAGTGGATTTGTTGATTTGGGTTTTGCTGAACCGGGATTTACTGGCCCAAGGAAAAGGCCAGAAGGATAGACAGAGAGAGGCTAGCAGCGTTGGGATATGGTGAGATCAGAGGGAGGATACCAAAGAAAGATGTCCCTTCCTTCTCAGGATTGAAGATCAGCTTTGGCAGGCTCAGCTCACTGCCCGTAATGGAGACCTTGTCCTCTCTGCTCTGGGGGCCTGATGAAGGTGTCCTGAAGTCAATCAAAGTGGATGCTGGAGCCGGACAGGACTGTGCAGGCAGTGTCTGTCCTCTACGGATGGGTCCCAGATCCCCCAAGGTCCAGGCAAACTCCATGAGCAGAGTGGCGTGAAGTGGCGAGGTGTGACAGAACTGGAACACTGGACTCTCCCACATCTGTCTTGCTGCCTTCTGAGAAGAGGCCAGAAGCTGAGAATTCTTCACAATTGTAACCTTTCTGTTTGTAGCCAGATGGCTGGCAGTGTGCTCACTGTGGAAGCAGGGTCAGGAGCATGGATCTTACATGTTTCCTCACAGGTTAAAGGCTTGGTCCCCAGAGAGGTCATCCTGGGGGTCTTCCAGATGCAAGGGATCTGCCCTGGGAGATGCACTCCAGCCCCTTCTCTCTCCCTGGCTATTTGCTCCCTGGCTGCCAGGAGGGGAGTAGCTTCCTCCTCCTGCACACTGCGCCCCGGCCCTGAAGCAGCAGAGTCAACCAACGGGGGACTGAAATCTCCAAAACTTGAATGTGAAAAAACCTTTCCTCTTCACAAGCTGACCAGCTCAGGTGTTTGTGACAGAGGCAGAACACTGACTAACACAATGGGCTTTAGCGGCACACAGACATGGATTCAGATCTACTCTACTTACTTGTTTATAGGACATGATCAAGTGATAATTCTGAGTTCTGGTTGCCTCATCAGTAAAATGAGGGTAGCAGTATTTGAACCGCAGAGTTGTTAGGGGATGGATGAGGAGAGGAGAGGAAGGTTGGGTTTCTCCGAGTTGAATAAACATAGGAGGCTCGTAGGGCTCTTCTGGATTATTGCTCTTGGGACCTGCAGAGGATGCATTTCTAGCAAGTTCTGAGTAAGTCACACATGGGAGACTTAATTTTTTTCTTTTGCAATTTAAACATTTTAAATAATTTTATGCTTGCAAAAAAGTTGGAAAAGGCCTGGGGGTGCAGCTCAGTGGTAGAATCCTGGGTTCCATCCCCATCATACAAAAAAAAAAGTTGGAAAAAACATAAAACCCCAAACAATACAAAAAAAGCCTTCAACAAACTTCCTCACATATTAGCACCTTAAATGTAAAGTCCGAGGTCACGATGGCTTAAACAAGACTCTCAGCACTGTCACTAATCCTCTGCCTTTTTCCTGTTTCATTTACTTTTGCACCTGTGCGTTTTCTGGACTCTGGACTGGCTGACTGTGGTCATAGCCAGTCATCCAGTGGCTCAGTCTTGTTTGCTCGGCACAGACTTCAGGGGTGACTTAGGGAGAGGCAGCTGTCAAATCAATGATGACCACTGTTGCTTCTTAAACTCTGTTCTCCGACTTCCTAGGGCCATCTAGGGAGCATGTTTTACCAGCATTCAGAGCCTGCTGATGCAGGTGGCCACAGGAACAGGTTCCAAGAAGCTGTCCAAGAGCTGCTGGCCCAGGTCAGTAAACCCTTGCTGGGCGATTGACCCTTCTGCAAGGGCAGTGTCTCTATTTCTTAAAAACACTATAAAGCATCCCATTCCCATGGTGACATTTCTAGAGATAGCCTGTGTCTGTCCCTATCCATTTTGCATCCCCTTGTTACAAGTGGAAGCAGAACAGTGGCCTGGTCACCCGTCACAACCTCCAATTTCCATGTTTTCTGGGCAGACTTATGACTTCGCTCGTTCTCAAAATTCGCCACCAGGGGGCAACCGTGACTTCCTACCTCCAGCAGGGCCTTTTGACACAGGTTGTGTGTGTGTGTGTGTGTGTGTGTGTGTGTGTGTGTGTGTGTGTGTAACAGTTTGTAGACTAATCCAGTTTGTTTCCTCAACCAGTTCATCACCTGTGACCTCGGGTCAGTAGTGGAGAGGGCCCAGATTTAAATCTGTGTGTTGTGCAATGGTAAATGTTCAACAACCAACATTTCAAACAAATCACCTGTTTTCCGCAGGCTGATTTTGTGCTGTGCCTGCTGTCACAGGGCGTTAGTCTGAGCAGGGTCACTCAGAAGCTGGCCTGGTGACACTGTCTGCCACATAAATAACATGGGAACAGCCTCAAGAACACAGCTCTTAAAGACACAGCGTGCCTTAACTAGGAAGTGATGAGTTTGGACTATTATTTTTATTTTTAAATTCTTAAAATTGTGAAAAACTACACATGATGTAAAACTTACCATTTAATCATTTTAAATGTGATTTAATAGTGTAAAGTACATTCACACTGTTATGCAATCAACCTTCACAACTCTTTCCCCCTATAAAATGAAATATCTGTATTTATTCAAGACCAGCTCCATTTTCCACGGGTGGTCTTTGTTCTACTTTCTGTGTTTACGAGATTAGCTACAGTCTTTACCGCATGGTTATTCTATTTTATTTAGGATAATGACCTCAAGGTTCATCATGTTACAGCTTGGGGCAGGAATTCCTTCTTACAGGCTGAATGATATTCATGTATATATTAGTAGACCAGCTTTCCTGGGGGTGGACACTCAGCTTGCTTTTCTCTTGGCTTTGTGAATAGTCTTACATACAGGGATCTCTTTGAGAGCTTTCAATTCTATTAGACACATAACCAGAAGTGGAATTCCTTAATCACCTAGTTGGGTTTTTTCACTAACAAATGATTTATTGCTACTAAGAGTGACAGAATATATGAGTGGCAGTGTCTGTATTAATGGACTTTATGACCACTCGGAGAATGCACCTGTGGTAGTTAACTGTGTCGCCTTAAGTAAAAATGCCACGGGAAATGAAGAAGGCTGCTTCTGAGTCCCTGGAGGAGCTCCAGCCTTCACTTGCACCTCGGAGGTCTTCTCCTGGCTTCCAGCGCAGACTCTTTAGCCTCCGGCACAGAGCCTTGGGCCTCCTGATGCAGACTCACACGGGACAGCACACTGAGCTCCAGGCCTTGACTCAGTTACAGGCAGCTGAGCTAGTTAGAAATATTACAGGCAGGCAGACAGCGCTGGGCCCTCAAAGGAGTCAGAGCAGACCACCAGGTATCTCATAACCTTGGAGGAGACAGACATCTCTGCTGCAGGCCAGATCTCAAGACAAAAGGCAAAACAAATGCATCCACACCCTGAGTAGGAACATAGGGATTGACACTCTAAACAGGTATCAAACACCTTCAGGAAGCCAAGAGTCACCACGGCAACTCCCTAAAGGAGGAATCACTGCTCTGTTGGCACGCCCTCTCGCTACATGACTCGCTTCCCCATTTGTCCCTGATTTGGTCAGTTTTACCTGAGCAATTTTATTGGTTGACCATAGCTCTGTCCTACCTCAAGCCCACCTGCCTTGCAAGTTCCAGGTTTTCCCCACTGTGGACCCCTCTCACCTCGTGATTTCACTCTATACAAGTCCCTAGAAAAGGCAGTTTTTGGCAACCCATTCGGGACCCCTTCTTTCTCAGACAGAAGCTTTCTTTCTCTCAATATATTCCGTTCTTAACCTCCATTGTTCTTAAAATTCATTCTTAGGTTTTAGAGAACATAAATTCATACTGGGATGTCTAGTAGGTCGGGAGTTTCCTTCCCCTGTATCACTTGGCATCTCCAGGGCACCCACAGGCCCTCTGCCCTCTTCCACACCTGACCTGTGGGCAGCCACTATAGGTCAATGTTGTAAGTTCTTACCTATTTGTATATTTTGCATTAAATGTTTCTCTAGTAAGCATTGACTGATACAGCATCTTTAAAATAGAAAAAAGAGGGGCTGGGTATTTAGCTCAACGGCATAAGCCTGCCTTGTAAGCAGGCAGTCGTGAGTTCGATTCCCGGTACTGGTAAAAAGGAGAAAGACCAAAATTAAATAAATAAATAAATAAAATAGAAAAAAGAGAGAAAAGGTTTTGTTTTGCCCCAACTCTGAAGCGGTCATGCCCAGTGTAGGCACGGCTGCGGCTTCATCCCATTTGTAGCACTCTTGGGTCATTCACAGGACAAGAACACTTTGCAGCATTTTAAAAATCCATTTTGTATCTTAATCAGAAGGTGGAACCGTTTGCTCCATTAGCCCAGTGACTCTGTGTGGTCTTATTACCTTTGTTAAGCGGTGATCCTCTAACATTTACGTAGGCGACTATTTCTCATGTCCCAAAAGACTTTAGGGTTTATCTTGTTTTGTAATAGAAGAAAGGACCAGTGTGAACCCATGAGTCAGGCTAGTGGTTTGGTATTTTTTTTTCCTTAAATTTGAAACAGTCTTCCTAAATCACTAAGTTGCCCAGATTGGGCTTGATCTTGCCCTCCTCCTGCCTCAGCCTCCCAGATTGCTGAGACTATTGGCACAGCCAGCCACAAATGCCTTTCCGTGTATTTGCAACTTCTTCATTTCAGCACTGTCTGTAGTTTTCAGTGTATAAGGTAATCATCTTCTTGCACAGTAAAATTACACAAGCTTGTCCCTATTTTATTACTTTTGGTGCTACTATAAATGGACTCATCTTCTGAATTTCTTCTTCAGAGTATTTGTGTGTGTGTGTGTGTGTGTGTGTGTGTGTGTTGCTTTTGCATCTTGAAACTCTGCTGAATTTATTAGTTCTAATAGCTCTTTCCACGGCATCGTTAGAATTTCCTATACCCATGTTCATTCATGTTATTGGCACATAGCCTTTTCTTTTTTCCTTTTCTGCTTTGTATGATTTTATTTCTTCTTCTCCCCTAATTGCTTTACCAGGATTTCCAGTACTGTGACGAGAGACAGAGGTGGGTGCCCTTGTCTTGTTTCTGATCTTGGTTTCAGTCTTTTGCTATTGAGTGTACAGTGCTGGCTGCAGGCTTTTCATGTTGGGGTTTCATGTAGAGTTTTTAATCAGATGATTTGACACCAAATATGTGACCCAGGTTCCGAGGTCTCCAGATATGAGGTGAATGTCTGCAGTTCAGCTCTGATGCCACCCACCTGGGGCTCACGGAGATGGCACAGGTTAAGGGCCCATTCCAAACAATGCCCCCGCTCCAAACACCAGTCACCAGGTCCCACTTGTACTTCCGACTAGTAGAAACTTGCTGCGTTTCTGACTGAGGAAATCACTCTAGGAACTATGGCTAGTTTATTATACAAGGTACAACTCAGAAACACAGGAGGGGGTGCATAGGATGGGGTGAAATGGGATGTGTGGGACCCTGCGTTAGTGACAATGGAAATTAAAACTGAGTCCACAGGCAGAGATTTCACTGGCTATTGGTGATCAAAGTCAGCATCCAACCCCTTTCCTCTCCTTGGGCCTGGGGCCTGGGATAAGCGACGCCCTTTAATCACGTGGATGGCAGCCAGCCCCATTCTGAGGTTATCAAGGGGACCCCCCAGTACCACCTTATTGAAAACTCTCGTATTGTTGAAAGGGGCTTCTTAGGACCAGAAGATGTGCCTCTTCTCCCTCTTGGGAAATTTCAAAGGTTTGAGAAGCTCGCACTTGTATTGTGTTGAGGCCATTTCCTTCTAGTCTAGTTTTTATATGAAAGGTGAGTTTTCTTTTTAATCATGTAAGTGTTGAGTTTTGCATCAACCGAGACAACATGGGGCTCTTCCCTATGGTTCTATGTTGATGTGTGCTATCTGAGCCATCCTTGCAGTTTAGTGGTAAGACCCACGGGCAGGCTTGGATAAGCCTTGTCGTGTGCTCCTGAATTCTACCTGCTGTACTCTGCTGAGGATGATTTACATTATTCCCCAGGGACATTGTTCTGTAGTATTTTATTATCTTCACTTTTAGATAATTTACTGTAAGATGGCATGATTTATTTTTAATAATAGCTATTAATCAATTCATGCTTCTCAATATTTAACATCTGCCTCTCATGAATGATATCAGTGGGTTCTGCATATACTAGCCAGACTTTGCATGTCTCTCTATCCTTCCGTACTTTGGGTCTCAGTGAACTGAGTCAGTTAACTTTGAAAAATTTTAGGAAGAGTTGGAAATGAAGAATGTATTTCTATGTCATTTATGTGACAAATAAAAATTTTTTAAAAAATCAAGCTAGACACGGGGGCACATGACTGTAATCGCAGGACCCTGGGAAGCTAAGGCAGGAGGATCACAAGTTTGAATCCATCCTGAGCAACTTAGCAACTTGGTGAAACTTGTCTCAAACCAAAAAGTAAACAGGGTCCCTAGCTCAGTGAGAAGGCCCTAATTCAATTTCCAGTACTGAGGTGGAGAGGAGAAAGAAAAAAAAATGTCAGAGGGCTGAGGACATTGAGGATATAACTCAGTGCTAAGAGCATGTACCTAGCATGCGTGAGGCCCTGGGTTCAATCCCCAGAACATGCATGCACATGTGCACACTATGTGCATGCACACACACATTCTACCATGCATGTGACCTGGGTTCAAGTCCTAACACCACCACATGAAAAAAAACCAGAACAAGTATTAATCTATGTATTATTTCCTTGGTTCCATTCTGACTACTATATAATTTGTACTTGGGATCAAACTCATGACCTTGCACTTGCCAGGTAGGCACTTATGCTGCTGAGCTAAATCCTCAGCCCTCTGACTACAATTTTTTTTTTTTTTTTTTTTTTTTTTGTCTTTTTATCGGTACTGGGGATTGAATTCACGACTGCCTGCTTGCAAGGCAGGCGCTTATGCCGCTGAGCTAAATCCCCAGCCCCTTGACTATAATATTTTAACAACATATAGTTTAGTCTTTTTTGAAGAAAGACACCAATTTTGGGAGGTTTTTTGGATACTGGCCTAAGTTTCCAGAAGCTGATGGAAGCCAAGCTGGGTCCTGGAGGAGAAAGAAGCCAATTTGACCCTGTGAGCAGGCAGAAGTCATGCAGGGCCTGGAGGAGAAACAAAAAACCAATTCCCCCTTCCTTTCAGCCAACCAGTGCATGGGCCAGGAGATAAGAACCCATCACACCCTCTTCCTCCACGCCCTAACCCCTGTACCCCTCATAAGCAACTGGCTGACTTGGCAAAACACAGGCTGAGCTAACAACTAAAGTACAAAAACCAATTAATGCTTGTATTGCTTGATTTGACTTTCCAGGCCTGAGGCCAGTAGTCTGAGCATCTATTAAGGGGGTAACAATATGTAAGATAGCAATAAGGGGGATTTTCTTCTATCTTGTTTTTGAAATCCAATTATTGTTGCTTTGTTCTATTGTTTTGATTCAATGTTTTGCTTTGATTGGTTTTATTCCATTCCATTGTTTGATTTTATTATGCTTGAAGGTATGGGCAGCAATTTTGATGATCACAAGAGGTATTATGGTAGCCATTGTTGATTATGTATTATCTTGTTTCGAATTTCTGTATAATTTTCACTGTTTTGGTTTTTTATTCTAAGATTTAAAAAGGTAATATTGGCCTAAACACTTTACTTACATGTTATTTAGTTCCTCCAACAATGAACAATGTATCGTTCTACTCCTCCCTGATTTTAGAGAAGACACTAATGTTCAGAAAGCTTCTCTTTGGCCAAGTCACTTGGCTGTAGGTAGCGTGGCCAGGTCCTGCACCACAGAGGCCTGGTCTCACTTGTCATTTGTACATACTGGCTTCAGTCAGGGCGCACCGTGCTATCTGGTTGTTCACACAGAACTGTGTAAGGTCTGCAATCTGCAGTTCTGGCTCCACCTCACTGTCCACACTGTCAGAAGGAAACGGAAAATCATGACTGCCTTCTAATGCCACACCCGGGTCACAGTAAGTCATATAAAACCTCTCATATCTGATCACAGTCAGTTAAGGGTTGGTCCTCTTTTATGATGTATTATCCTTAGTATGCATTTTTGCGACTTGCTAGTTTTTTTGTATTGACATTCATAGGCACGTGTCTTTGTTTTTCGTGTTTTAAGACAGGGTCTCATTGCGTAGCTCAGGTTAGCCTCCAACTCTTGCCAAGCCTCCTTCCTCAGCCTCCCAACTAGCAGAATTACAAGCATAGGCCACAATTACCTTTTTTAGTTAAAAAAAATAAATCTACTTCATCTTGAAGGAGTTTTATCTGTATCTTTAAAGGGAGTTTTATTGCTAAATTAATGGCCATGACCTTTTTAGTATCATTTTCATTTCAGTAGAATCTGTAGGTATGTGTCCTCTAGTGCTTCCAAGGTTGGTACATTTTGTTGCTAGTTGGTCCGTTTTCTCCAATTCTGTTGCTTTATAACTTTTTGTTTGGATTCTTTTCCTGTCAAATTTTTGATTTCCATTTTGATGTTGCTTCCATTTCTCTATCTGCATTAGGTTTAGTTTGCACTGGTTATTCCAGCTTCTTGAGGCAGTTTATTTGCTAAAACTTTTTCTCTAAGCATCGTATTCCACAACTTTCAATACTTGTACTTCAATTTTCACTTAAAAATGGGTTCTTCTGATTTGATTCACAGGCTTCTAGCTCTCAAATATTTGAGGGTCTTCTACATGTTTCTAGTTCATCCGAATTTGTGTTCAGAGGAAATATTTTATTTAAATCTTTTCAAATTTACTTACACCTCAGTAGCTGTTGGACAGTGCTCTACAAATGTCAATTAAATCAAGATGGTTGATACAGTTGTCCAAACTTGAGTCCTCACACTTTCTGCCTAGTTGTTCTATCAAGTTGATCAGTTCTGAAATCTCCAGCTAAGCAAATGGACTTGCCTTTTTCTGTTAGTTTTACTTATCATACATTTTGAATTTGTGCAATTAGGTACATAAATTAGCATCATCTTCTTGATACAGTGATCCATTTATTAGGAAATGATTTTCTTTAATCCCTAGTAATGTTCTTTTTTCAATCTATTTTGTCTAGTACTACTAGATCTGCTTTAATTTGGGAGATTGTTTTCTTTTGACTAGCATTAATATAAAGTCTTCATTCTAATTACTGTAGGCAGCATAAACAGTTGGATGTCTTTTTTGTTACTACCACAAAATACCTAATTTCTGTAGGACAGAACTTTCTTTCTCACAGTTCTGGAGTCCAGCAGGTTCCCATCAGGCACGCTTGGCTGTCTGTCCTCCAGGGTGCAGCAGGCAGGGTTGTATGAAGACAACTTCGCAGAGGCTCTATGCCATCAGGGTGCAGCAGCCTTCAGGGCCTTGTCACTGGCCAAGTCCTACCTCTCGAAAACACCTTCACATTGGTAATGCCTAGATTTGGGAGTGGGTCATGTTCAAACTGTAGCAATGAATCTTTGTTTTATGTATGAAAGTAATACTACTCTATTCCTTAGTAAAGCAGATCTATTTTTTATGTTGTTGTTCTGTGTATGCACTCTTTCAAGGGTTCTGCTGTTAAAAAAAAAAAAATCAGAAAAGAACGGCAATCAGGAACAAGTAGAAAAAGAGCACAATGATGTAAGCAGTGTCTACTGTCAGGCGCCACACACGTGTTTTACTCCCGATTCCTGCATGGGATCCGAGCCTGGTCTGAACCAAGGCACTGCGAGCCTCCTCAGCATACTCGGCTCCTCTGCTCACTCCCTTCTCTTCAGATGGACAGCCCCACACCTGCGCTCTGCCCCACTGCTGTCCTTCCCAACCAGCCCTCAGGGGCTGCGCATGGCCTCCCTCCACCTGGCCCACTCTGATCACCTCCCAGCCTCAGGCCTAACGGAACACCTGAGAGCCCTGTCCCGCTCCTCCTCCTGTGACTGTAGCCACAGCTCAGGCAGGGACATGATTCCCTTTCTTGTTTTGCCTTTTCTTCCTACTACTTACAACACATTAGACATTAGCTCAGCAAGACTATAAAAGCTCTCTCCAGGCAGGACCTGAAATAGTCCAACACAATCCATTAAGGGTTGAAAACAAGTTACCCGCCCCCATTGTTCTTGGGTTGAAAATAAAAGCAAAAGACCACTGCACATTAGTTTGTCAACATTAATGCCCTGGGTTTATTTTGTGAGAATTCTATCACAATTTTTCCAGGTGGGATTAAAAACTTTAAGGATAATGTATGCCATTGGACTGGGCATTCAGACTTCGGTACTGACAAAGCACTAGTAGTAGTCTGTTAAGTACCATTCTCTTCACAGAAGAGAGGTCAAATATTTCCAAAGGAAGGCACCCGATATTTGTGGTTCTGGCCTTGCAGCCTTCTGGAGAATCTTAAAAGGAAAAAAGCTGGCTGGCTGTTTTTAAAAACTGGAATGATGATACACGTACAGCAATTACTGCATTCTTCTCCCTTATATCCTCTTTATAAGAACAAGTAAAGAATGAAGTCTTTTAAACAATTCGACAATAAAAAAGTACAATTTTTTTGTGCTAAAAAAAGGGCAAGACAACATAAACTCCAGTTGTAAGGACCCCATTGCATACTTGATTTAACACTTTTTGGCGTGGAAGGGATGGGACTACTGGGCTGTTTGCAGAGCAGCAACATAACCTTAGTGCTTTAGTACCAGAAAACGCCCGCGGCTCATTGGGCGGGTGGGGATGGGAAGACCCAGGAGACTTCATTTTTAGCTTGTTACTTGTCCTAATGATAGTGGACCAGGAAAATCCCCATTTAACAGCACATTCCCCATCTTTAAAAAACTGATGCCTTTTTTTTTGTAAAGTTCTGTATGTATGTCACCATTTTTTTCACATGATACACAGAAAACTCAAGGACCCAGAGGGGAACCAAGTTATGTTATACCATTTACAAAATACCAAGGAGTCCACAGCTACCTAACACATTTACTACAGCACAGGAACCAATGAAGGTACAGTGTACAAAAAACTGTAAACACGGCACAATAAATAGGTAAAACAGCAGGTTCCGCACCATGCACATGATGTGATGACACTTCATCGCTATACAATCTCACATCTCACACTCTTTGTTGCAATTTATTTCCCTCCCACCCCCCACCCCCAAGTGCAAAGCATCACAAATGAACATTTCTGTATTCAAGTAACATATATACAAGGGTATTACAAATATGCAGTACTGTACAGATAATTGCTGTATTCTTAATTTACAGATGTTGATTTTTTTCCTATTAACAGTAAGAAAAGAAAAACTGAAGCATGAGAGATGAGCATCGCTGTAAAGTCCCCACAGCTGCCACAGAAACGCATGTGCTGCATTCCATCATCCCTTGCATCCAAAATGCTACTGATGCATAGCACCTAATCAAGTCCCAGGCTGCATTGCGATCTGAGGAAGCTACGTCACCTCCATCGCTACTGTATTGTCTGCTATGTTGTTCAGGGCTGGCTTTTCTGATTCGTGATTTTCCCTGTTGAAATAAAGTTCAATCCATTATTTTATCTGTAATATCCAAACCAAGCAGATGAAAAACATCTCAATAAAGAGCTTCTTTTTCAGTGACAGAAAGAAATTTGACTCTTTGGGATAAAAGAGAAGAGCACAGCTCCTTATAGTTCAAACTACTCAGAAAATAGGCCCAAGTACAAATGTCATGATCAACTATTGTGTATTACTAACAAAGCTCCAGCAGCACCTAGAAAATCTAGATGTTAGAAACAAAAGAATGACCAGCTTTTAGTAATTATTTTAATTTGCTCCTACAGTACAAGTACAAGTACGACTGGAGTTCGTTCAGCTCAGGATTCTAAGTCAGGGATAACCAGCTGCTGCCGAACACGGGCCCAAGTTCTACACGGGCAAAAATGTCCTCGAAAAGGCCTACGTTTTATCTCATCTGTTTCCCCTCTTTTAAACGGGGACAGAGCTGTAACACCAGAAGTCCTGAAAATGCTCTACTGTCGTATACATCGATACATTGGGTAAAAATATCTAAGTCAGAACTATGAATGACTGATTAGCTATGACTAGATGTGGGTACACATGGATCTCTATGGGCAGACAATTACTCCTGCACAAGCTCAGCAGGAAGAAGGTGTGGGTGCCATCCCTGTGTAGGAAGCACTTGAGGTGCTCAGCAGTCTGGTCTTCGCTGCCATTTCACTTTCAGTTACTGGCCTTCCAACTGTCTATGAGAAGTTTACTATTACCTCTAAATACTTTCCCAATTTTGTATTTTCATTTTGCTCATTCCTGAAATACTTCTTTCCCCTCTGTGCCCAACCAAATAGTACCTCAGGTCAAGTATTATTTGTAGGTTATCCCTACAATTTTCCTGCTGTGAAGATTTCTCCTTATATGGAAATTATAGCCATCATCTATATACCTAACTTGACAGGCAGATAATGCACTGATACCTCTACAATTATTTTCATCTACTATCTGTAGTATTCTAACATTAACTTTTCACTTTTAAGCTTATTTTCTAATGAAACTAAAATGGCTTGCCTTTCCCTTTGTTTCTCCGTATCTTTTAGACAGCAGGACTTTTTTTTTTTTTGGTCTTTTTCCTTTTTATCGGTACCAGGGATCGAACTCACGACTGCCTGCTTATAAGGCAGGCGCTTATGCCACTGAGCTAAATCCCCAGCCCCTAGACAGCAGGACTTTAATCACTACATAAAATGTAACAGAGCTGGGCAAAAATTCTAAAGTATTTTATTTTTATCATGGTGGTAGGGACCGGACACAGGGCCTTATGCATGCAAGGTAAGAGCTCTACTCCCTGAGCCACATCCCCAGGCCTTCCTAAAGTATTTACTGAAATACAAGTGAGCACAAAAGAGTGACTTGACTGAAAGCTGACCTGGTATGAACACTGTCTTTATTTACATTAATAAGAGCAGCTTGGCATACCAGCAATTGGTAGGTTCTGCCAATCTGAGCTATTTACACAAGCAGCAATGAAAAAGATTATCAACAGACACTCTCTGAAGAGAACTTTCATCTAGAAGGAGAAAAAAAGATTACGAACTGCTTTTATCCTAAGAAATATTTGAATCATATATGCAATTAGTCATTATACCATTTGGTTCAAATTCTCAACCAACACTGAATTACAACATTCATTTACTTAGGTCTTAGTGCAGCAATCTATTAGTTTCTGTAATTTTAATAATAAAGGGAAGCTGGGCTCACTGGGACAAGCCTGTAATCCCAGCTATTTGAAGGTTAAAGCAGGTACAAGTTCAAGGCCGGCCTGGGCAACTTAGTGAAATCCTATCTCAAAAAACAGAGATCTGGGGCTGTTTAGTGGTACAGTTTGCCTAGTAAGAGCAAGGCCACAGATTTGGTCCCCAGCACTGGGAAGGGGAGAAAAAATTATATACACATATACACATACATGGCGAAAGACAGAGTACCACTAGGTTTCTAGTTGCCATAATTTGTCAAACATTTGAGGTTTGCAGTAACACTCACCTTGGAACTGGATCTACTGAGGATGCGGACGGGACCTTGGAAACCTGACAGTTTGCTGCGGCAGCCAGCTTTAAGGCAGACGATGGGACAGCACTCAGAGTCCTGGGTATATGCCGTGCAGTCACTGGGGCAATGGAATTCACGGTGGCAACTGACGAAGGTACAGTTAAGCGGATGTTGTTCCCAAACAGAACCTGAGTTGTCCCCGAATTGGCAGCAGTTACTTGATGACTCAGTGCACTGTGGGAACTTGAAGTCTGTGTAATATTAGAAGGCTGTAACAAAGGTGAACCTGCTGTTGATGGACTTGTATGCATAAGTGCTGTTGGCGTAGTACTACTGAGGTGTAAGCCCTTGTATACTCCTGGGGAGAAAAAATAAGCATGTGTCTACACAGTGTGCAACTCTGCAGTTGGTATTTATGAATACGTATGTTTGTAGTATATGATCTCACTACACAGAAATACAATCACAGTAATTTAAATGTCTTCATCCTTACCTGAGGCTGGAAGGACGCCATTCACCCCAATTCCAAGCACCACATCATCCTTCATCTTGAATCCCATCAGTTGTTCCGATGTCATCAAAGCAGAAGCAGCAAATTGAGCACTAGCAGAGTCCAAAGTCTTAGAAACAAAACCCTAAAAAAGAAATACAGAAATCTAACTAGTACAATTTATTCTCAAGTGAACATTAATGCTATACATGTTAATCAAAAATCAGCTCGGGAAAACGGCAAACCACTGAAATTTCTTTCTCTCTTTCCATCATCACCGCCATGGAGGGCTAAGAATTGTCTAACTCAAGGGTTACTTTCACATGTGATAATACAGAATGTGCACATACAAGTTACCAAAATAAGCCTTTTATACTGTGGAGATTGCACATGTCCAACACAGAATGTTGGGTAAGAAATACACTAGCAAACACATTTCAGTGATTTGCAAATACATATATAATGAATAAAAGAATACACAAAAGCTTACCTCAACTACACATGCCCCCAAACCCAAAGACATCTTTGGGATAACAAAATAACCATGCTTTGCCTTAAGAAACCAAAGTAACAAAATATAGAAATTTATCCTAGAGATGAACAAGCTGAATTTTTTAAAATAATTTTTTCTTGCAAGAACCTTGAAGGCTCAAATCTTGGTTTTTATGCCCTAACTGTGTCTAAATGGCAAATATTTATCATGCTTTACGTTGAAGAATGATCTCTTTCAAGGATAAAAGGTTATCTTAATTGTGAAATTATAATAATTAAATGTTTAAGGATCACAAACTGCAGGGAATTATACATTGAAGAGGTACATAACAGACTGGAAGACAGAATCTTCATTTCATTCAACTATGCTTTTTTAAAAATTGCTTTTAAAATAGGGAGTAGAGGCAACAGCTTCCTTACTCACCTGGAATGTTCTTTCTAAACCCTGTATATTCAGGCGAAAGCCACTTTTCTGCTGGTTAGATGCAAGGTTCTATGACAACAGTTGGTAATTAGAGATGAACTCTGGTGGGAAACAATGAGGGATAATCATAAGACAGACAAATCCCTCACCTGTGAAGTGTTGGTGGAGGAATTACTATTTGCTTGCTGTTGCTGTATTTGTGCAAGCTGCTGTTTCTGCATTAGTGCCAGTTGCTGTTGATGTTGCTGGTATTGTTCGGCTGTAAATGCTGAACATAAAACAAGCAAACACTTTGTAAATAAAAAAGCACAAACATCACATACATCTTATAATACTAAAACGAATCCCTCATTTAAAAAGTGTGTCAAATTAAAGCATCTGAAAAAGGCTTATGACCCTACTAAAGATCACTTCCAAGTGGAAAATTTCAACATTTTTGCTACCACATTTAACCAAAGTAGCTTCAATTTAAAGAAAATGAAAATTAAGCTCCCTAAATTTAAATAGGAAAGAGAACTGCTCACTTCCCAAATTTCAGTACCATTGTATCTGTACAGCTGTGACACTTGTGCTAGATTGTTTAGAATGATAGTTATCAGCTTTTTAAATCCATAGATCTGGAATTCAATTTTGCACTGAGCTTGAGAAGAAATTTGATAATTAACCATTTAGTGTCATTTTATCCATTTTATCTTCCCAATGCATTCAGATGATTCCTAATAGTTCTGTGTACAAACACTACTATGTATTTTCTACTTTTAGTAAAACATTACAAAGATTTCTTTTGTATGAGAGATAAAATTGTTGGTTTTTTACCTTTTTTTAAAAAAAAAACTCATCCTTTATAAGTTTAACAGGAAGAAAAGAGGCTCCAATGTTAAGGTCAATTAATTTTCCCCACCCAATTAACCCACCTGGAAAAAATCCAGTCAATAAGAACGGAGTTGTTTATGTTGATTTACTGTACAGAATGATGTCTGAGGAAAGACACTGTGTTATGCTACTTATGTTTGTCTATGGAGAGCTCAGTTCTAAAAAAAACAAACAAAAAAATGTTCATTTATTACCCCCCAAAAAGTGTGTGCAGTTTTAAAAAAGGAAACCTTTTTCTTTTCCTTTTTGCCAATTTAAAAAAAAAAAAAATAGCACATACAATCACAATACATCTGACTTTAAAGGCTTCTTTAAGAAGCCTGTGATGTCTGAGTTAGAATTATTTTAAAACAAAAAGGTTATCATGCATCCCTGGATACCAGGGAATCCATAAATCATGCACGGTTCCTCAATCTAAAGTTTGATGTTTTCAAAATATTGTCACCTCACTTGTTGCTTAACTACTGGTAATTTTCAGTTAAAATACTTTAAATTTTATCTTTTTTACTTTTAATTATCTCCTATGATACTGTTTCTGCCTATACAACTAGAAAATATTTAGGTAACAAATTCCATTATATTTTGAATAGATCTGAAATTGTGAAATATTCAAGAAAGTTTAAGTTATTAGTGCCTCAACAAGTCCTTACACTTGAGCTGAACTTAAGTGCTTGGGTGATAAGAGCAAAAAAAATTATTTATTGGAAAAATTTACTAATAATTTTCTTATATATAATACGTGTTGCAAATCTGTTTAACTGACATCTGTCTTTTAATAAGTGACTTTTCTTACTGTTTGTAATCCAGAAACCTGAGATGTACAGGGGAGATATTAGGATAATATTCTTAATATTAGGAGAAGATCCCGA